GTCCAACTTTACTCTTTTCTTTACAATAAGGCTTTCAAATAAAGCCTGTTTGTACGGCAGTGAAGCATCGGTATGGAACACTGATATGCTGTCGATGATAATGATGGTGAATAAATTAAAATTAATTTGTGACTAGACGTTGTGCATCGGTGATCTCTTTCATAAGGCGATAGAAACTCAGTTCATTGGCCCTGATTGTAGGGAGTCATTTTTGCATCTACAAACAACCGCAAGTTCAAACAACCAATCAGCAGTTGAGATGCATCCTACCCATTATTCACCTTGGATTTCCGCCCAACTTTCTAACTGCGGTCAGAGGAAACAGCTCAATTCCATCCTCCAATCACTTTTGTCCCACGTCATCTGCTTAAAAATCACCCGATTATTGACCGATAGTATCATGAAGAATGTTAGATAAACCCAGGTAACAATGTGCGTGTCTCAACATTATTGTTTCAGAAGCTAAATAATACAAATTAAATCAATGAAACTACACTAATCTCATTTCTCCCAATGGACGTTTTGAGATTCCAACAAAAGTTTTTTCTATGGCTTGCAAGCTGCTGTTTATTCCTTATTACCACATGGCACATTCGCATTCTCTGTTTCAGGCGCATTTTTAATTCCCTACTTCATCAGCGTCCTTGCCGCCGGACTACCTGTCTTTTTACTCGAAGTCACCTTGGGACAACTAACCTCGCAGGGCGGGATCGCTGCCTGGAATATCTGTCCGCTATTCAGAGGTTTGTTGCATATTCCTCACAGGTTCGCAAGCACAAAACACAGTGTCCGCATTTCTCTATTTCCCTTAAAGTCAGTTCTGGTCTTACACGCCGTATTTCCATTAACTCAATCAGACGGTATCCGAACCACATGGTAGGGTTTCCGGTAGTCGAGACTAACATTGCACTGTGGGCATCCCGGCTAGAGGGTCCGATATGGATAGTCGATGAGTGAGGCTGGACACACATCTACATAGCCGAGTTTACCACTGGTTCCGCTCTTCTTGCATCTCATCAGACAGCCTTAGGGACCATTTGTGTACAACTTGGTGTTCAAGTAGAACATTCGTTTGACAGAATTCAGACCTACCTTTCTGAGTTCCAAGAAGGCCCAAGATATCGGCAGTAGAGTGTTGGGAATTTTCAGTAACTTAGTGAGTAGCATGTTACTTCAAGCAAATACACTACGTCAACTCGGACATCGTACCAACTGGACCATGAAGCGACCCTTGGCAGCACATTCAGCTGACTAATACCACCGACCATAACTGCAGTTGAGTCTCTCGTTAACAATATCGTAATTTGGAAATGAGGGTATTTTGTCAACAGCTTCACCATTGTTTTGGAACGCTCTTATTCAGAGACTCTGGAAAAACACGCAGAGCATCACTGTTTTCTGTACGAAAAGAAATTCAGGACTCTTATAATGAATAAGTAGTTTACCATAATTTTGCACGTGCTTCCCGGTAGGATGGCCCAAATCCAGGTGTTTTAAATGATACCAAGTAACACACTACTCGTAAGGTTACTAATATCATGTTGTGATAGTGATGGGTGACTTTGGATAGTCGATAATTTTCGTTTTATGGTATGGCCTAAATACTCCGACTGGAAGATTCGTGGGAGTCAAGTACGTTCGAACATCAATATTTCTGCTGACAAAGCCTGTTTACGTAGCAAGTTAAAACTCACTAGAGAAGATGATCAGTGAAAGGAAAAAGGCCTTTGCTGCGGAGTTATTAGAAAATGCCAACTAACCAGTTACAGACCATTGGACAGGGAAGCAAAACTCCTATTTGCATCTTGTTTAAAAAACTGAAAATCCATCTTCTCTTTGAACGCGTCTTCCTAAACTTTCTTGGAAATTCATTGACAGTTGCTCAAGTCCAAGCAAATGCTACAAAGTGACTCCACAAATTGCGCAATAGATCTCTTCTTTCAAGAGATACAAAGCAAATTTACAAAAAACATACTACTCGCATTCCTCCCCATCAGTAGTATCACCATTATACCAGATCCACATTTGCCTGGGATAACACAACCTGAGTTGCGGGGATCATTTCTTGTAGGTTGCAAGCATGTCTATGTGTGGCACTTGTTTTCAATGATGATCCAGTGATAGGCTTTCATGTTACCAGGTCGGCATCTCTTTGCTGATCAAGGTAAGCATGTGAGGATCTTGCTAACCGACTGCAGCTGGGGTTGGTCAACTGGATAGTGATAAAATCCGCACAGCACCGAAATGCGTATGTGTCAAGGCGTTCGCGTCGCAAAATTTATCCGATGATCACCGAGTAGTGTATAACATGCGGGCGCTGAGTACTGCTCTAGCTTGTTCAACCCACCGAGAAGATATTCGCGAAGCGACTATGGAGTGCCATTCATGCTCACTGAATCACACGTCGAATTGTTCAGCATGCTGCTCGGCGTAAGCGCCGCCGCAGTCGGGTCTTTTCAGGTGAGCGCACCATGTGTTGCCGGTCGAGAATGTCGTGCGAATGCGAACGGCACGCTACGGACCAAGCTCGGTGCATGACTTTAACATGTGGTGCACAAATTCAGTAGTGCAACGCCATTCCTCGCTGGCGATCAAGCACCAGGAATTTTTTCAATCCAGCCTATCCGGAGAGGCCAAAAGACATCTTTCAGTGGTTCATTTTTCCAAGACATCTGTGCTATAGTGAAAATTTCGTCACGTAATTGAATCCAGTTTATCGTGAGAAGCGAAGAAGCACTGTGCAGCTGTCCTATTCATGCTGGGAGTCACCAGCAGCGCACATACCAAAAACCTCAAACCTTCCGGCTATTGGCTTGAACACTTAGTCGTTTGACCGCGATCAGCTGATCAGCAGCGTGATTAACTCGCACTTAGACAGGATATAACGCCGCTTATCCTTCAGTCACGTGATCCACATCACGTGATCACAAATGTTCACCACGAGTGAACTGGTCGGGAGTTCACGGTTTCGAGACTCTGGATGCCACTGCTCATGATCTTCAATGAAGTGAAACAGCTGTGGAGCGCTTCTTGGCTTTTTAGCATGAATTTTCTTCACTTACAGAGCGGAATCTCCAATAAAGTTTCAAAGTTTTCTCCACAACTTTGGGGTTTTGCGGGATAGGTATTTTATGCACAGACAGTCCACTCTCGTTTGAACGGTCGTGCTGCTATTCTGGCGTAATTATTCCGGTGAATCCACACCAAAGGGAAGCGCTGGACTCGCTCATCAGCAGTGCATGTCCAATGGCCGTGCCGGGATTTGAACCCCGGACATCTGACATGCGAGGCGAGCGTGCAACCACCAAAGCACGCTGGACGCATCTGAATTTTCACGTCCGAACAGGCGAACGTGTTCACACTTGAGCGATGTGATTGGTGTGCCCAACTCATCGAACGACGACCCAGTAACTATCCTGGTGTGATGGTCGATTGACCCGCTGATCAAGTCTCCACATCATAAACAAAATATCTACGTAACTGACGAATTTTAGAAAGATTTCCGATCATTAGTCACAACTACCTCACTTCTTTTTGCGCCGTCCTGCTGTCCAGTTGCAGTTATCTAGGTGAGCTGGTACGAAACAAATGATGCACTGGGCTTGAGTTCCCTTCTTCTAAGAGCACGCCAGCTGTGAAGGATTTGAACTCTGGGCATCTAAAATGTCTGAAAATACGTACTAGATGTCCTTGAGTTATTACCTCTGAACAGGCGGACATGTTCATCTTTCAGCAGTGTGATTAGTTCGCCCAACGCCTCGAATGGCGACTCAGTAACCGTCCTAGATTGCATTGATCAATCATAACACGACAGCCAAGAGTTTACAGTAAGTTAGCGCCAGTGGCGCTTGAAACCGACATGTCCGGGGTTCAGCCAACGAGTATAGTAGTCACCTTCCGCGAGCTCTATCCTTCATGAATTTGCCTCAGATCCTGTAACCAGCTGTTTAGATCAACAGAGACTGGAAAGTAACCGGACCAGCTCGAATTTAAACAGGACATCCTTCGCTCACTGAGTACATCTCACACTCCAGTTTGTTCTGACTCAAATTAACGGCGCCTGTTGGGTGGCGGGTTCTTACAACTTGGAGCTTTTCGTTTCTGAGACGATTACTAAGGGCAGCAAAGTGATTTTCAAAAACCTAATTGCAAAGGTCGCTGACCAGTTTGGTTGACGGGTCAAAGCTCAATTAGCCAGTAAAATGGTGCATTCCAATTTGAGCGGTTCACTTGGCGGCCACCCCAACCAGATGCCCAAGGACTGAACCGCAGATGGTTTTGACCGCCCGACTGCTTAGAGGAGTTAGTTAACTACAGTGGGCAACCACGGGGGGGGGGTCTATGAGAATACGATCAGTATTCTGGTGAAGTAAAACATTCGAAGGTGTGACTATATATCTTCCCTCAAAAATTTTACGAACAGAGGCAACTGAGAAACTCCAACTCTCATTGTTAGAATGAAAGAACGAATTCTTCAAACCGAGAGGTCTCTTCTGGGATGAGACTCACCAGATGTCCAAATCGAGGTTGGTCTCATATCAGCTTTCACGGTCCACAGTGATCCGCGTGTAAGATAACATAATTAGCAACAGCATTAGTAGTGCTCACTTGTCCTTGCAAGTTTCAATTCACCGGCCAAACTAAGACAGTATGCGGCAGTATGTGAGGAGTTATGGCAATTGGTTATCTGAATGCGCTGTAAACCGCCAACCGTGGGAAATGCGGTCGATTCCGCTTGATCCACTCGATCATTTCCAAACAGGATGAAATGCACAGTGAAATGTGAGGCGACTTTTAGGAATAACAACGTCCTACTTTGTAATGACTACTCATAAGGTTGCGGAAAATCCGTCGACAGCCCACGACCGGTTTCGCCCGATTCGGGGCTCATCAGGTAGGCGCAGTCCCCGGTTTTCCGTCAACCTTATGTTCTACTTGAAACCAAATTGCACGAACTTAGCGAATATACACTCA